GTGTTTTCTACGAACAGAATATTGAAGAGACCAACATTGATCGATACCCCCATTGCATCATTTGGGATCTTTTTCATTTCTATCATTCCTGTTTATTTTCCATTTCCAGTGGAGTTTCCCTAGGCTTCTGTCCTTCGTATGATCTTGGGTGTTGCGAGTAGCGAGTAGCCCTACATCACCGATTTATTCCAGGGCATATACAGGAAATAGTACGAAACTACTTCTGTGACATCCAGTTTCGAATTACTGTTTGGGAGGCCGCAACATCTTGGAAAAGAATAGTGACGGGATATACCATATCCGCCGTTCTATTCGTAATGGTGATTTATTCTTTATTATCAAGGTAACAGAACGGGAAACCGGAGGGCCAAGGATAGAGTCAGGAATCGGATAGAGACATTATGGATGACTTGACCGTGAACACTATCACGCAGAAGAAATATGGGGTTTGTCTGCTTTGGAGAAGTAGTCTCATATGTAAGAAAGAAGTTAAAGGCAAGGAAATCGCGGTGTATGGTATTGAAGGCCACACGATTTTAGTTGACGTCACAGGTTGAGGAAATGCCATCAATTATGGACAACACGATCAAGTGCATAGGAAGGTGGTTTGATGCATCAACGTGCAGAGATCGTCAAGTTGGGCCTGCAATGTATGTTCAAGGAGTGGATTTTCCAACATGGACTGCCACCGAAACCATCACCTTCCTTTCGGAGTTGGTTTGGATTCCCGCCCGGTTTGTGAAGGCGGATAAGAAGGAGTAAAGAGCGACACAGCAGTAGCATTCTCAGAGAGACGGAGACATGAGAGATGAGTGTGGTATTGGGGAAGAAAGTTGTTTCCTAGACGTGGTGCAGACAATATTACGTTCTGATGTGGCGATGTTGTCTGTCGAATCAAGACAGATTATAGTCATCGCGATGATTGTGCCTCGGGAAGAGCGATATGGTCAGGCTAATTAGAGGAAGAAAGCTAGGTATGCAGAGCTCATGGAATAGTGTTGGAACAATGGTGACGCACTTGTTTGTTTCCTGTGGAGGTTGGATGCAGAAGGTTACCGGCACGCTCAAACTGAAAGACGTTACATGCTTTGGGTGTGGTCGGGGTGACACGCAACACGCACGCATCATGTTGGCTGTAGAGTAGACGGGGAAAAGAAAGACCGGAAGAGGAAAGAGAGGGACCCATATATTGATTGGCAGTGAGTCATCATTTCGAGGATGTTCCGGGACAAAGATTGAAAAGTCCAGAGATTCATGGATCGGTACACTTAGTGAAAGAAAGAAAAAAATGAAGAGAAAAATCCATGTTATAAGTAAATAATATCCATTTATAATATACATTATGTAAAAATGGCTACTATATGGTTTCTAAATATTGTCTGAAGCAGTGTTATCTCCAAGGGGATAAAATTCGAAGCCATACCATCATTCACGATTTCGCGGAGTTAAGCGATTTCATGAGTTTGTTGGTTGATTTGTTTTACTTCTGAGAGTTTTTGTAAACGGTTCGAGGACTTCCGAATGCATATCAATTTTCACAGCAGAGGTAAACAGTGGATTAAAAACAAGTTTAACGTATAATGTAGAATAATATTGAAAGAAAATATTGTACATTTAACAGCTATCATTGACATTAAAGAACATTTTTGACATAAAAAACAAACCTTGAGATACGCTTTCGTGCGTTTATGAATAACATTTCAATAACATTTGACAGAATGACAGAAAATACATTCCTTCCACTGTGATAAGCTTTACAGCTTATGATATTACGCAAGACTGGCCTTAATGAAGTAAAGTTATATAGAAGTGCATGCTTCTTACCTGAGTAGTTATGAGGCATGAACACAGAGAACATGTCATACGATCTTCTTTTTTACCATAAGCTATCTCCGTCTTACTTATCTGACACTTTAGTGACGCCATTTGTCGAACAGGATCTGAAACAATACATTGTTTTGTTTGGATGTCACTGGATTTTTAGAAAAACGTGAGAAAAGGTGAGTGAAGGACACATATTATGTTAAAAATATACCATACATCTCAAGGTAAGAGCATCGGTTTGTCACCTTTAAGGATCAATGGCCCACCGCAGACGAAATATTTTAGAACTTCACTGTAGTTTTTCATATATACAGTGTATAAACCTCGCCCAAGCCCCCGAAAAACCTCATCACATCCCCCCACAACCACCACGCCCCCCCCTATATTTGTTTTTTATATATAACTGAAGCGCCACAGGGGCATGCTACTTCCGTTGACTAGGTACGTAGCTATTAGGGAGCACATAACAATGATATGAGGTTAAGGAGCTTGGGTATTATAAACGAACTTGAGGCCTCCTCAGGCTGATATTTGAGTCTGAGCTCAAGAATTTTTGCTCAGCGCCGTAATTCAATAAAAAAAAGAAACAAAAAACGAAAAATAACAACACAATAACGCCTCAAGCTTTGGCCAAAAAGCTGATGCTGCCCAATATAAGTTTTAGTTCGAATTCAAGCTCAGGAATGAACATCTTTGCAGGGTTTGAATCCTGGTCTGGTCTTAAAATTGACCAATGAAAAGTGTCATGACCCTATTAGTACATGTCTTATACCGGTATAAACTCCACACTTTTTGTGGAGGGGTGTGGAGGGATGTGGAGGGGTGTGGAGGGATGTGGAGGGATGTGGAGGGTGATCTTTGACCTAGATATGCATGGAATGTATGACGCAAAAGTGGAGGGAAAACCCAGATATATATGGAATGTGTGGAGGGACTGTGTGACACACAAAAGGAAAGAATATGTGGAGGGACTATGTGACACACAATAGGAAAGAATGTGTGGAGGGATAATATCGTATGGTAGCATGCAAGACTGAACATATCCACAACAGGCGATGATGTAAGGTCTTCCCCGTCATGCTATTGTTAGACTGATGTAGAAGTCAGCTATCAAAGCGCCTCGTCACTATGTAGAGGTAACGGTTGCTATTGTAGGAAAAGATATGTGCACAGTATCCTAACTCAGTCAAGCTTTTGCAATGATGTTATCAGCAAGAAACACTGTAGCTTAGCAGGTTAGAACGTTAGGCTAAAAATCTAGGGATCAATCCCCTATGTAGCCATATAATTTATCATATATAAACAACTTTATAATGAATAATACGAGAATGTAAAAGTATTTAAATGATATTATCACCAGGATACTCTACTACAAAGTATGTTTACTGTCAGCCATGGAACAGGAATGTGGTGGGAAAACCTTCCCACTACACCTGTTCCAATGAAGCATCAACACTACCTAAAATGAGAATAGAAATGAACACAGAATGAAAGTTTCAAAACTAACCAATTTAATAATCAACATAGTTAAAGTTAACCAAAAGTCTCCATGTTAATATTTTCCTTTTTCATATTTTTATATTATTATTTTCATAATTTCAGATTTTTTATTTTTGAGTTCGAATTCGTTAGCACGGAGTGAATATATAATGTCCGAATCGAACAGGTATTTTTCGCTTTCTCTGGTTAAATTATTTTAGCAAGAGACCTTGATATGTTTTGTTTATGTTTGTATTTGTTTTATAATATCGTGCTTCAATATACTGATTACATGAACAATTAACACAAGCGTTGACGTTGATGGCCTGCTTTCGTTTTAAACATCTCCAAAACATTACTGGACAATCTAAAACAATATGAAACCAGGATCTGTGCTAATGCATGGCTAAACCGTAAATGGTAATTATGTAGTATTTAAGTATACGACAAACCTAATACCTTAATGTGTCAAGCTACTGAGAGGTGAAATATTACCCATTTAAAAATAATGTAAAAAAATCATGATCAATTTTCCCGTTGTGTACTTGTACATTCATTCATATTGTACGATACAATACTTTTTTCACTAGTGTTTTCTATCGTGAAAAAACCCAGAAGTTTTTAGACATACTCGAGAACTATACATGGTATTCAGCGTGAAAGCCATTACATAATGTATGTATAACCGTTTACAGATATAAAACGATTCAAATAATTGCATTTATCAAATGAATATCCATGAAAAACAATCTCTGAAGACGAAAGACTTTAGGGGCCGAGGTACGTAAATGTATTCTGCGCCAACAAAATGCCATTGCGCTGGGAATACATACTGTCGCATCATCCGTTTCCATTTAAGTTCTCTTAACATGGATCTGTGAAATGTTTTATTTTTATATAATTGAAAGTAGATGATACGATGACAAGGTACGGAAGTTAGTTAAATCAATTAATGGCTCTGTTTTAAATATATAAGACTTTAGCAAGACCAATGATATGTAGAACAGGAAAAAGCTTTTCTTTATTCCGAGCTATTTTGTTACGAAAGATCGAGGGGACAATTAATTTAGGTACCTGTAACAGGTCATGTCCCTGTAATCGAATGTCAGCGAACTATAATACGGCTACACCAAAATGAACCAGACATATGTCAATATTATTCACGAATGAGTGAACGAGATAATAGAGTCAGAATAAACATGTAAACATAACATGTTTTGTAATTTTGCTACATTGTTAACTGTTGAATATGTACATTCAAATTAAACAACTGCAAAGTGAAAACTAGAATCTCAATTCGACAAGTAATCTTAATGCTTTTGTGCGTTCTATGTCGTATGAATGTCTCGCGAAATTGGATTTTGTCAATCGCTTTTGATATGTACCAACGTATGTTATACTTTAAAACGATTGGATGTGCTTAACGGACCTGATCACAAAATCATATTTAGCGTGTTATGTTATGGATTAAAAGCCGTTGAATATCCCAAAACCGAAGCTCTATGGGAGGCCTGACTTAACAGCACCAATAGTTAGAATACCAGTACATCCATTAAAATACGTAAAAGCAATCATATAGGTTTTGGTACTTATTCTATAAGTTGAGTTAATTGTTTCGTTAATGTATTCCCACGATCACGTTTCTATATATATATATATATATATATGAATCGACAATGTAGTTCCTGCGAGAACTACGGACTTATCACATTAATTTCGCGGAAGACTGTTTCATACTCAAGAAAACAGAAAAAAACTAAGGTAGGTTATTTCTAACTTTGTCTTCTGAATGTGTCTAGCCAGAATATGTACTATTACTCAATGTGTTTAGCAAGAATATATAATATAACTGAATGTGTCTGGACAAAATACATAATTTTTCCTAGCAAGAATATATAATATAACTGAATGTGTTTAGCCAGAATGTTTGATAATGTCTTCTGGATGTGTTTAGCCAAAGCATATAATATAACTAAATGTGTCTAGCCAAACATATAATATAACTGAATGTGTCTAGCCAGAATATATAATATAACTGAATGTGTCTAGCCAGAATGTTTGATATTGTCTTCTGAATGTGTCTAGCCAAAACATATAATATAACTAAATGTGTCTAGCCAAACATATAATATAACTGAATGTGTCTTGCCAAACTTATAATATAATTGAATGTGTCTAGCCAAAAATATAATATCACTGAATGTGTCTAGCCAGAATATATAATATAACTGAATGTATCTAGACAAACATATAATATAACTGAATTTGTCTAGCCAGAATATATAATATAATTGAATGTATCTAGACAAACATATAATATAACTGAATGTGTCTAGCCAAACATATAATATAACTGAATGTGTCTTGCCAAACATATAATATAATTGAATGTGTCTAGCCAAAAATATAATATAACTGAATGTGTCTAGCCAGAATATATAATATAACTGAATGTGTCTAGCCAGAATATATAATATAATTGAATGTGTCTAGCCAGCATATATAATATAACTGAATGTGTCTAGCCAAACATATAATATAACTGAATGTGTCTAGCCAAAATATATAATATAATTAAATGTATCTAGACAAACATATAATATAACTGAATGTGTCTAGCCAGAATATATAATATAACTGAATGTGTCTAGCCAGAATATATAATATAACTGAATGTGTCTAGCCAGAATACATAATATAACTGAATGTGTCTAGCCAGAACATATAATATAACTGAATGTGTCTAGCCAAACATATAATTTAACTGAATGTGTCTAGCCAGAATATATAATATAATTGAATGTATCTAGACAAAATGTATATTTTTGTCTTCTGAATAATTCTAGCCAGAATATATGCTACTGTCTTCTGAATGTGTCTAGACAGTATGTATAATATTGTCGTTTGAATGTGTCTGGACAAAATATCTGATATTGTCTTCTAAATGAGATTAACCTGAATATTTGATAATGTCTAACTTGAGAATGGATTTTCCCATTCATGAAAGTATTTTAAAAACCGAAAAACCAAAAAACCAAAAAAAAAAAAAAAACGCCAACAAAAGAACGATAACTGACGCCTAGTGTCGCCCCGAACCGTAACAAACTTATCCATGTTCCGGATGAGAAAATAGTCCGTCAACAACAACTCATTTTAAGATTATTGCCTTTTTAAGCGTCAATGTAGAAACGGCGAAGCAAATGACACTACAATTGTTTTAAAATATCTTTCTACATGGTTTCAAGATTCATGGTATTCCTCCGCGCAAATCTATTTGTTTCTAGAAGTCAGTCGGAAGATATGGCTTCTAGTTGACTTTTTAAATTTGGAGAAATATACAAGGTAGTTGTATATAATTTGTGTTGTCAGGGTTTGTCGAAAGGACCTTATTACAGCTCGGGATGAGAAAAATTGTTCGAACGATAAACCCTGAAAACACAGGCTGAAAAACGATAAAATATTAAAGGATACTTAACGAATGAGTCACGAGAACGTCTCCTTATGCATTTATGGTGTGACATTCCAAACGAAATTTCTGCTGTTTAAAAAGTTACATATTTTCAAAAAATGATAATGAGAGGAATACATTGATATTGGGGTTCCAATTTTTGATTTTTTACAAACTATATATTTAAACGCAGTAATAGAGAGAGAAAATTATGTTTTTCCTGTCCAAATTCGACATTTAAATCTATTACAGTCATAAATAGCGTTGCAATGACTATCTCATTGAGACCTGTATAATAAATCATTACAAAGTGCAATTTGATACAAAAGGTCTCAGTGCAGGCAACCCTGTTCAAAGTTATTTAATGCATTATTTATGTATCTGTATGTAAATTGTAACTTGCATCTTTATAAACGAACCAATTCATCTTGTTTTGATTGATCACATGATTGTCGTTTAATGCAGTTAATCAACCATATATCATATTTTGAGTATATTCTGATATTATCTATTATGACCCCATAGACAATTAGGCAATATACATGTCGTCATAATATTGTGACCTCTAACTTTAGACAAGGAGTCAAAAGGACAATGCTGAAAAACTGACGCTATTAATTAAAATTTAATTCGTTTTAACATTGGATGAAAAATAAATAAATGAATAAACAAAACTCGCCCTGAAGCTACGTTTGTAATATGAAAGAGCCTCGCCTAAATGGCAATTCTGAATTTGTTTCATAAATTTTCAATTGAAGTTAAGCTAGTTTGGTAGTCGGTGGAACATGAAAAGGTTTCAAAATTCAATAACCAAGTAGTCGATCATTTTATTACATCATAGGTAGCTAGTCTCATGTTTACAAATGTAATACTTACCTTTTATCTCTCGTTGATCGGGTAAACACTAATTAATTTAGAAAAAAACGTTGCTGGGCCTGAGATGTTCATGCTTTTTCTGCACTCGATACAATGATAGCCAAAAAGATGCCCTCATCGCAATCCTGAGTCTGTATATTTCCAAAAGTGGAGCAAGAAGGTAACATTGTAAAATATAATACTAAAACTCACTTCAAAAGATGGGACGTGAAATATGTTTTATCATCTAAAGAACACATATTTAAATCATATATATTTTGTGAAAAGGTGCAAGTCACCATGAATTCTGTTTCTCAATCAAATAATACCGCTTGCATACCGCTTATATATGTAGATATACTTGCATACCCATGCATGTATATATACATGCACTTTACGTAGATGTATGGATAAAAAAACACGGTCATGTCACTATCTGACAGTGCATCGTCTTGAAATTTGTTAAGTGCAGCTGAGCATATCCTGTTTGTCAGTGTGATGATAAATGTCATTGAAAGGTATTTTAAATGATATATTTTATGAGGTTGTTTCGTTGTGCGTCAGAAAGCTCTTTCAGTGGTGAACGATCTATTCGAGGCAAACTGATTATATCATTTCTTGCAATACATCATAGGTTATGTATTCTGGCCAGGTGCCAATCGTTTTAACCGTGTTATAACTTTGTTGTTATATACTGTTACGTGTCCTCTAGTGAAGGTTAACAAATAATGATTTGATTCCAGTAACATTTTGTCACGCTTCTTATTTGATATAATGGCATTATTATTGATATATTTTGTAGGTTTTATACATTTATCTGAAGTTAAATGTAACAGAGGGGGAATGAATTATTGGAATAAATCAATTGCTTTTTCAATGTGTTGAGGCCAGAAAACAAATCGCAATATACAATTGTCTACATCGTATGTAAAACATTGTTTATACTGTAAAATAACAACAACAAAAATTCCTTTGATCCTTTCTAAAATTTAAAATTCAAATTAATTGAAGTCATCAATAACTTCCAAATGACAATCTTGTAAAGACCTTTATAACAAATCATTACAAAAGTGCAATTTGTGCACAAATGACTCCTTGACGACAACCTTATTGAAACGATCATGTGCGTATTAATTTTCACTTCCGTATTTTTATAAAAGGTCCTATTACTTTTCTTTTGATTAATCACATAATAACCATTATTAACATGTGCAGTTCACGGTATACTTGCCATATACAATTATTTGTGAATAAATTGTTGAACAAGCTTTTGAAAATTCGCAGGAATATCATACGTTCTAGTTGATATCTATCAAGTTCGGTATCTACCCAATAGCATTAGAGGTTGAATGTTGTTCTCCTGGTAATCTTTTTCAAGAATTCAAATGAACCTTCTAAATCATATAAATCTTAAATAGACCCCAAACCTCAGCTGCATAGCATAAAATACTGCTGACGAAAAAATTAAAAGATTTAAATTGCCTTAACATTTAATTGTGTGTTTTTTTCTTCACATTTATGAGATAATGCAAACAATGTTTTAATAACTATCTTGATCAGATAAATACATTTGACAATACTTGGGCTATTTATTAAAATTCATCTACGACATCATTTGGTTTAACATCATACATTTAAAATTCATGGTTTGAAATTATGTACCCGTTACGAAAACACCCAAAAATATCATTTACTAATATATATATATATATTTATTAGTAAATAAAATATATGTGAAGGCCGTCAAACATATTTTGAAGCACTTTGTTTAAAAAAAGTAAAGGAGATAGCTGTTTGTGAAAAAAGTGTGAAAACTCACTCTTTTAACATTAAACGGTATTTTACACAGCTGTTAAGATATTTAACAAGTCTTCAAAATTATCACGAATTTCAGTATTGATAAGCTTTAACCACAGGCTCACTCATTCAACATGTTGGAATGCCTTCCTGAAATCTTCAGAAAAAATATCAATGCATGCTTTGTTTTTTGATAATGTTTTAATTATTATCCATTGATAAAAAATAACACCAATTATACTTAGCCCTGGTCAAAACCCAAATTTTCACAAATATTTAACAAATGAATATTTAAAATAGATGTAAATGAATTGCAAACGAACTCATAAAGCTAGTACTCCGGATGTTATCTTAGTTATATTAAGTATTTTATGAACCGGCACAAATAATGGCCGAAGATAAAATATTTCAAAACCATTAAGACTGTTAGATTCAACTTTTTTAACTTACGATTTTTTAAAAGAATGTCCTTCTCTTCCATTATGCTAGTTTCTATTATTTGAATCAATATTACTATAAGTATGGTATCAAATTAGAATCATCAGAGTCAATATTAATGATAACTGTTGTTATATACATGGTATATTTTATATTATAACCATCAATGGAATACCCGGAATTGGCCGTTTTGTGTATAATGGAATTCCGTCTCCGTATCTTTTTTTTATGTTGTTGTTGGCTTCCTGTTTCCGGGAATAAAATGGGAAGTTGAAGAGTGAAGCTGTTTGGATTCACCTCTAAATAATCCTCTCACATCGCAAACCCAGTACATTAGGTTTACTTACATGTAATTCTTAAAATATTTGGATATCCATGTTTTCATTTAGTAAACAGTTTATAAAATGACATTTTGTAAATACTCGAGCATACCACCTGCTACGCTCAATTACTCTCTTTTAACTACATGTATTTAGGTACGGTAGCCTTATACTGTCCCATGCTTGTAATCAAATAATGCTGATTTGTTTTCAAATTTGTTTCATGATTAAAAACTTTTTATACTTTTAGAGTATAGTGTGTGAATTGCAAGATTTGAGAGAGCAGTTGACTAACTAGTTAGATAGTCAAATTTAACAACACCGACGAAAGGATCTATGAGGATGTTAAATTCATGCAAAAAACTATCAATCATTTCATTTATAGACTGCTGACTTACGTCAACAAAACAGTTTAAAGTCAAACGTCAAATCGTACCTGTGTAACAACTAAGTTTACGCACGCATATAGCGTAGCCGAATCGACTTCGATTACATATTGCCGACTCGTACATATTTTAAACCTTTGGTAACACACGCTTACAGGGTAGCCGAATCGACTTCGATTATATATTGCCAACTCGTACATATTTTAAGCCTTTGGTAACACACGCTTACAGCGTAGCCGAATCGAGGTAACATATTTACTTTTTAAGGATGGTTGAGAATTTTTCATGTTTGTAAATTACTATCATGCTAATTGCATAAACGTAATGTCAATACGTTATTTGAGCATTACTTGTGATAACGCTGATTCTTGCTTGATTAAAAGGCAGTCCTCTTGGTCAGAACATTTTTCAAGTGGCAAGCTACTAAAATTTGACTGGGTCGGCAAAGCTAACACGTTGAGTAAAAATAACCCACGTCCTCGAACTCGGTTTACTCGAATACCCCTCATTAGTCGAACAGTTCGTTTGGCCCCGACCGCGATATGGCGGACTATGTCAAAACGACAAGTACGTTACACATGCAGCTTTTTAATTATCTTTACTTCCTTAATGCCGGTGGCTAAATGTTTTCATTCTTCAGCTATTTAAAATCTTAATAAATTCTGTCATTGCGATTTAAGTTTTTTTTTCTTCTTTCATCTACTATCCACAATATTTGCAGTGCTCGTACTGTCTGTTGTCCTATCTGATAAAAGAATGATGACGTCGGTCGACCTCGGATTTGTCGAATATCATGTATTCCTCGAACTTTTGATGTAACTAGATTTTTTTTTTTTATTAGAATGTATGCAATTTAGTAATGCAAATGCACGCGTTTTTGTAGATGTATAGATACAACGGTTATATAACAGTTTGAAATTTCATCGAGCAGACTTATTTACAAATACAACTGCGCATATCCTATTCCCCAGGACTGTATCACATGCCATTGAAAAGACTTTAAAATTGTAAATGTTTGAGGTAGTTTGGTTGTGCATAAAAGGACTCTTTCAGCGCTGAACAACCTTTTGGAGTAAAACGAATTATATAAATGCTAGCAAAACATTCTGGGTTATGTAATCTATTCACGTGAAAATCGTTTAAACTGTTGTAAACAAACTACAGAAAACTAAATTGAGAAAGAAAAAAAAGTACTGATATTTTCTTACATTTCCTACAATGGCGTTATGGGGATCTGGCAACACTGAAGTTTAACTCCTTCTCAATGAACCTCTCCGCAAATTGACAAGATTTATATCAATCAGATAAAATTGATTAAATTGGAAATTCCCCTAACTTTGCACTTCACATATATTTATCTTAACGAAAGGATGTTTTTTTTTACATTTTAATACCCATTCGCCTTCAAGAGCTATATTGAAAATAATTGATGGTGAAATCGTATATTTTTCTCAAACATGTGAGGGGTCACCTGTTTTCATTGTTTTGATTTAATTTCAGTGATTTCCCAATATTTTCGTTTTTTTGGATATAACTATAGCATAGTTTGGCCAATACATATTTTGTGTATTGAAATCAAGACATTCTGAGATTTTGATTTTAATACTTTCCAGACTTTTTTCCATTTTCTGTATATATATTTTTTGTATATTGTTGATCTCAAGATTGCACAGATGTCATCACATTAAAAGCTTTGTTGCATGCTTTTTCACTGTTTAACGAAAGCAATTTCTAAATTACTTACCCTCAGATCTACCACAGAATTACAGAGAGAAAAAAACCCATGATTTACATACGGAACAGTTTTATCATTTGTAGACAAAGCAATGAATTCTAGACTTGAAAGTATGTTTGGTACCTTTTTATGTCGTTTCCTTTCCGCCAGATAATGAATAGAATGAACGGTATCTCTACAGTCGGAAGTGAAAATGGCACTAATGGTAGAGAGATGGACGAGGAAGTGTGTGATACCCAATGGGGAAAACTCGGGGCTTGGTTTATTGGACCGTCAGCTGAAAATACCGACGAGTTCTGTGAGCTAGCCATAGAATCTATTCGACAAAATGTCAAACCGAAGAACTACTTTCCAAATGACCCTAAGTTGATCACTCCCGAAGTGAAATCATCAACAAGTTACAAGACAGAAATGGCTAAACTGAAAATGGAACTTCAGTGCCTGAATGACGTACTCACGGAATCCATTCCGTACGCCAGTGTGCGATACCAGGTAGGGATCATATCATCCAACTCAAACAGACAAATAGGTTCAAATATATACTGAAGTAATATAAATTATTAGATATTTAGATCTTTTCAAGTAAATATTATGAATTTTAATTATTTAGAAAGAATCAAACTTAAATACATTAATAGAGGTTCCCCAACGAGTGATGGTCGGTTATTATGTTTATCTAACTCGAGTTAGTTAATTTTCAAATTGTATAAATACACGAGGTTTACTAAGTGTCTTTTACAATTTGAAAAGCAACTAACGAAAGTCAAATAGACATGAAAACCAGCCATCACGAGTATGGATCTCTAGCAACGCTCAGATGGTACATCTAGGAAACCATATGTGTCTCTTGTGTCTACATTATTTATGTTTTCGATTAGGAAGACAATTGACATCAACTTTGACGTCATAATAGAGGATGACGTCATACTTAGAATAGTGACCAATGAAATAGCGTCCAGGGTGTTACCCGCTAGTGGGTAACCATAAATGTTTACCAACTCCCAGCAGGTATACCCAGTTAGTCGAGAATAAGGAAATCTACAGTGGTTGTGAGAGAAATGTATTTAACCATCACGTTGTATCACTACATTTACTACAAAACCATACTAAATTATGTTGTCAATTATATAAGCTAAGATTAATGGGCGTTTTAAGTTTTTAGGAAAAACATGAAATATTTTAATTTTAAATAATAATAAATCATTGTATGAAGTAAACAAGAATCTTGTATAAGCTTACTTAATCTAATTCAAAATATGCAAGTAAACATGAAGCGCTAAAATACAAATGCTTAAAAAACAGTTAACATCTTTAATGGGCATTGGTTGGCGTTATTAAACGGCAGAGAAAACTATTTGCAATAATTATTAACATGGATATATAATATATCATTTTTAGGAGAATTGTCATTAATAAATGAAAACAACACATGTACTGTGTAGCAGTGGTTTTATTATCGATATAACTGCGTTCTGACAGAATAACTGAAATGTAAGTGCTACAGATTGATCAACCTTGTTATAGAGAATTAATAAAACGGTTGATAATTGGGGAAAAAAGTAATAAAACTTAAGCAGTCCAAGAACATAACTGTTGGATTTAGCTCAGCTATGTTTCATATATTAAGGAGGCTCCACCCTTTCGCAATTAGCCAGTAGAACTCAATGAAATTTTCACATAATGGTTATATCACTATGTAGAGATGATTTTATGAAAATCTAAGCATTCCGATAAACTGGGTTCTATACAAAAAAGACCGAAAAATTGATTTTTTTTCAAATTCAACACTTTCACTTTTTTTGAGCATGTGGCATTGTTCAAAACTATTGCAACAATAAAATAATGAAAAGAAACATTGCTAATCAACCCTACAAATATTTCATTTATCATAAAATATCTACAACTTGTTACAAAAAGCGTTTTTTATTGAAATTGTATGATAACAGTTACTAAATACAAGCTAAAAGCAAACAGGACACATAGTTTCATACAAAAAGACTGAAAAATTGAACCAAATACACACAAAGTCTTTATGATTAATTTATTTTACATTTTACGATAATTTTGATCCTGACGAGAGTTGTCTACCTTGAAAAAAACCGGAACGTTTTGCAGAGGGATAGAATTTATACAATGACGCTTATTTTCTTTACTATTCCAAAAACGACGGAAATAAATTAAATTACTATATTTAATTGTCAATTTACTGTTCTTTTATGGAACAAAATTACTCTCAATCATGTACACTTTGGACATCATTCCATAGCCCGCTTACGCATGGTACATATCAACATGTCAGGTACATATGTAACCATAGGCTATCGCATGGTATGCCGTTATTACGTGCACGCACATGCACTAGCATTTGATAGGGATCTTGATATTTTACAAACCACTAATTTCACAGAGTTATTGTAATAGCATTTGTGAACCAATTTATCTGACAGAGCGTAACTCGCTCGACAACAAAAGTCGTAGCGACCAAGAGCTTGTGAATTAATGTTAGCATATGATACGTACAGGTGAGGTTGGTAAACAAAACACATCAGTCTGCATTCCATGCGCCTCATATACGACATTCTTGAAGTCGTCTGATCGCATGTCAGTGTTTTCCCGTGAGTTAATTAATGTCTTTGTATCATAAACTTTATTTCTGAAGTACGTGTGATTACACATTTCCAAGTTAAGTCTCGATATCGGGTGTTGACATATCATCGTCACGCACGTGCACTATTGTTTACCCGGTGTTACTATAATTTACACTACGGTAATGGAATGCCCGATACGCAATACGGAAATGACGACACGAAAATACGACAAGAAAAACATGTGTATTACGAAGGGTGGAAAGTCCTTAATCATTATCTTATGAATTTTCTGCTTGAAAGAAAAATTAGAATTTTTACTCGAATTCGACAATGATGGAATATTTCACATGTAATAAACAGGGTCACATGGTGTCTGAAGCGACGATGGCGGCCAAATTAGGTTACCTTTCCGCATGGATGACCAATGCTAATAATGCGACAAGTGAGCTCAGTCCAGTAACAACACAACTGGAAATAGAGGTCGGCAAGCAACTCTGTGAAATGATCGGATTTGAAGCAACACACAACCCGTGGGGACACATCACTAATGGTGGGTCCACCGCCAATATAGAGGCATTGTGGGCATCCAGGAATATCAAGTTCTTCCCGTTGGCAGTACAGAGAGCCATTAAGGATGAACGGCTGCTTGTCAGTGCTAAGGAACTGAACGTGTATATTCCAAGGCTGGGTAGAAAACAGAAGATAACAGTCACATCAACGTGGGACTTACTGAATCTTGATCTTGATGACATCGTAGCTTTACCTCAGGAAATTCAGCGACTGACACAAAAAGACGCTTCTGATCTCAAAGATGTTATTAACAAGTAAGAATATTCTTAATTGTCACTATCGATAGGAACTTGGCAGATATGTCCAAGAATGTCAATCGTTGGTTCATTCTAAATTATGAATGCTTGTACTGCCAAACCTGTATTTTATCAATTTTATTTTATCAATCATAAATTTGTAGGTGTCCAAATTGACTGTTCTATAGGTTTATATTACATGTCTGAACCCTGATACTGGGGAAACTGTGGCTTGCATGCCCTGAAGGTGGGTTTATTGCTGGGAGTATAGGGGATTGATGTCAAATAACATTGACACTGAGACCTGCCTATGTCTAGAGCTTACACAGTCATATCTCCTCACTTAACAGTTTCTCATTTGGTACCAAAACAGATGCTCGGATCAATGAGGGGGGAATTAGGGGGGCGACAGCCTCGTTTTCAGGGACCAGGAGTAATATCCTGGTAAATACCAGCTTTTATATCTAACAATTCTCGGTTTTGTTCTCCGCAAAAGTAGAGAAAGGGGGAGGGATAGGGTCTCTCGGTCACTTCAATGCAGCGATACCCTTTACCTTTAGACAATATTGGGCCGGACCAGGTAGATTAACGACAGACATCTTACAGGGAAATCATGTACTTACCCATTTTAAGACCCATTAATTATAAGACAAATCAAGGGTTTCCGTTGAATCACAAATACCCATAGTTTTTACGAGTGAAATTATTTGTATATTCTGCGATACGAGTGAAATATACATGGTATTTAACGAGAAGCCATTAATTTGACTGATGAATTACTGCAACAAAAAAATGCGGGAATTATTAGCAGATTCCAATGGCTATGCGCTATTTTGAATGGGTTAGTTCTGCCGTTTTCTGCTCTTTTCTGTTAGGATTTGCTCGTATAAATGTATTCAATCACATTTGTATAAAACTGAAATATGCGCTATATATGTACAAAACAGTCAGCACAACAGAAAATACGCAGCAGATAATAGAAAGTTACATTTTTATTTGGTAAATATACAATTGATATCATCACTTGTGAAAGCACAACATTTCGTATATTTTCACTTTTTATCCACAACTTTCGCTGGTATAAAATATAATACATTGTTTTTATTACTAGGTCCAGTCTAGCCCACAACGGTTTCGTCCAGTTTTATCTGTTGCACGGTTTAAGGACCGCACCTATTATTATAGCATCGGCGGCCAACCACTTCTCTTGGGGGAAGGCTGCGACGCTTGTGGGCATCGGAGGCCGAAATCTCGTATGCGTTCCCTTCGATCGATACGCTCGCTTGGATGTTATAGGTAGGTCAAGATGCATGATGAAGATAAACAAATCGATAAGTGAAATATAGAAAACATTGACAAAAGTTAATATATCTACATATCTACATGAAGCTTACGACACAAGTTCTTGTTTGTACGGGTCTCTCTTAAACCCTACAGATTGCACATTTAATCGTTACTTAACTTTCCTAGTACCTTCTACACATTTTTTGGTTTATAGATCCAGGTAATTCAGTGACTTATATTCGTTTGATTCTACTCAGCATTCCGGAAACTTCTAGATGAAAAGTTGGCTAAGAAGATACCAGTCATTGCAGTGATATGTGTGATCGGTACAACAGAACACGGAGCGATCGATCCTGTTGCTGATATCCTGGACCTGAGAGCAGAGTACAGAACCAAGGCAAGGAACAAGAATACTTTTGTTTATACCTTTTTGATGATAAAGTCAGCTTATTTTATGGAGCGGCGCTGAGACTAAAGTTAGGTCATGAAGGACCTTTGAGCCAGATACATTTTGTATCAATTAAGGCGATGTCAAATATCTGCGGCACTTGTTTGAATGTGTTAAATTTGATTAATCATTTTCATTCCCCACAATAATGCTGTTTTAGGGCCTGAACTTCTACATACTGGCAGATGGGGCCTGGGGAGGCTACTTTGCAACACTCGTACGGAAACCTCACGGGGATGACCAGACCCTACCTCACTTTCCTATAAGCGACTACACACGTGACCAGCTGATCCGCCTAAAGGATGTTGACACTATGACAATCGACCCTCACAAGTCAGGATACTGTCCTTATCCGGCCGGAGGTCTGTGTTATAGGTAAGACAAAGGCAGGGTTAAAATTTTCAAAAATATTCATATTTTCATATCTTTTTGTTCAAATTATTTTTTTCTGTACTTTTCTATATTTGGTCCTGTAAAACGATTACATATAAAGAACGGTCACTATAGGAATCGATCAACAAACATTAAAATCAGGTTTGTGTGTTTCACCCCCGGCTTCAATGTTGGGATTGTAATGGACAAAAGATAACATGATATTCGAGATTAATACTAGTATTGGTAGTATTGTTCTAAGCATGGTTGAAAGAAATCGATGTTTATGTTTTTTTTCCATATAGAAACGGACACATGAAAGCGTTCATCTCCTTTGCCACCGACATGGTGTTCATGGACACAGCCACGGTCTTCAATTGCGCTGGAATCGAGGCGTCAAAGCCTGGAGCGGGGCCGGCCGGTGTATACCTTGCTCATAAGGTACTGTATTTGTTAATTGTAAGGCGACTAATATTGAAAACATGTAGAACACTTGGTATCTGTCGGTGTCTTTCTTATTTAGGACATTGAAGAAATTATCTGCTCCCCCATAGCAACAAAAGACTAGTTTATCTTTTCCTTTTCTGTCATGGTGGTGTATTCCTTAAATGCATAAACGGTAGGCTTGTTGTCAGAAAATATTAATCGGGGATACGAAAGCTGCATGATATGAGCTTTGAATGTTTAAGTGTGATAATTCTATAAAATATGTTTTAAGTGGTAGATCATCAGTGGATGTTGTTGCAATTACAAATAGTATTGTTACAATTAAGCGATTGGCCTTTTTCAGCATATGGTGTTTAGCTGTTTAGCAAAAAGGAACACTCCACGTGATATAAAAGTAATAAGTACATCTTGTATTATCGTAATTCTGATGACATAACTCCGGTGGATACTTTCGAAATACCTGCGTTGTGAGATGGATAAAAGAAAGGGAGACAATTTTCCATACCACTTTACAGTTAAGCATAGGGTCCGTAGATGCTTATATTTGAGTTTGCATTATATATCGCGCATAGGGAGAATACTAACATATCGAATTGTCAAAAATAAAACTGACTAACTCGGCATATTCCGGTACCCTTCATCACAATATGATAGGTGCGGAATCTACCGAGTTCTGGCGAGTGCTAATTTTGGTGTTCATTAATCGGTTGATGTTTCATATTTGGCTGTTACGATTTAGCAAACCAAGAACAAACAAGACGATGCTCTGATAAAGTTACATATTCCTCTCGTACATGTTTATCTTATAACCGGCTTTGGCCATACATTACTAGGTCATTGGGCTGAACAGTTCAGGCTACGGTCGAATCCTGGGACAGGCAATGCTCGGCGCTAAACTGATGTACTGTGCCTGGCTGACAGCCGCCAATACTGATGACAACTTTGTATGCGTTCCATTGACTCCAATTCCGGACAACTTCGACCATGACGAGGAATCGGCGAAGCGTTTTATACGAGCGAAGATCCTCGATACACCGTATGTTGATCTTGTGCTGGTAAGTAATGAAGAACGTCATTTGTATGTAAAGTAAGTCGCCATGGCATCATTGTCCGTTCTCCTTGATTCAATGTATTTCTCTACAATTAAAATATGTTATTTAAATACTAGACTTTAGCGAGACTGCTTATGACTTGCAAAACACTGTTTTATCAAAAATGCAGACGTAGAGAAGAAATGAATTAAGTAATATTTGAAACATGAATAAGAACAATATAAATCTATATATAAATGCACTCATGAACATGAGAGAAATTATGTATCAGTCCGCTTACCAACAACCCTCTTAAAAGTAATTGATGTATTGAAAAGTCCGTTGTAGTATTTACAATAAAACACAATCTTACAAATTCAATATGAAAACTATTTTTTATCTTCATGCCAGGATAACGAAGTGATGCATTTTCTGTCTGAAATCGGTCCTGATGCAGCTATCAATGCTTTTGCCGTCAACAAGAAAGGCAACACCTGTGCCGATAAGTGTAACCGTCTCAACATGGCCGTCTTTGACAGGTTATCTCAGTCGAACCCCAAAGCAAAGAAAGTTGGTGATGTACCGCTGTTCCTCACAAAATCAAGACTTGCCCAAAAAGAATGCTTCAAAGTCTTGAATACCTTCAAAGAACGCCTCGGGGTAAGTGTAATAGGCTATAACTATCTTTTCCATGTATTTTAGATTCCTCTTTCTATTTATTTTTCGTGATGATAATCAAAACACATGTTCAGATATGAATATAACGAGGTTTGAAATTGGGAAACTTTGCTGCCCCCTATTGCATGATCGTAAGAGGCGATTAAATTTGGGACCTTATCTCTTCTCTCCTTTCTAAATAACTTTCTTCTTCCTAATGTCTCCCCTGACAATGCCTCACTTTTGACCATTTGTTGAGCGTTCGCCCCTGTGAGGAAGGCTTTGGGTTCTGTCCCCTGGCCGAGACATACCAAAGTCTTTGAAAATGGTAGTTTATACTCCTGCTTAACGCTCAGAAAATTAGGAGTGGGACGACTGGTTCGCCCGTTGTCAGTAAAATGTGACCGGGTGGGGCGTCCTGCTGGGTGTCTTCGGCAGTATGTTTCAGTGAGGTAGCACTATAAAGTCAGCATCAGTTCCGCGCTATCACAAGGAGACAAACACGAACATATCGCAGCCTCCCAAACTACACACACATACACTACACGCATGCATCTTGGACACAGGGGAGGCCGTCCACAATTGACCTTAGCTGTTAATAAGACGTTAAACAAAATCAAACACGCAAACAAACTAAGCTAACGTCTTCGACATATTTTCAAACGACATTTTGGTATCAATATTTCCAAATATACACTGGATATTTTCATAACCGTGCTATTTTCCGTTATTTATATTGAATAATCTTAATCTTTAATCGCACGTCCATAAAAGGCTTACAAACACTTATTAATGTAACGGGTTTCTTCGTCAAACCTTTTGATGAATCAAGAAAACAGTTTTTTGTCATAGAAAGGTTTTTAAATTCCTGCATTGTGAATTTCAAAAAGCCTTTTTCCAATTGTTAAAATCATTCGTAAGGAACGCCCTGTTGCGTAAATGTCCTTTTGAATGTTATGAATGAACGTTATTGACATATTAAATATCGTGTTTTATCGTTTTATCAGTTCAAAAATACGGTATAATTTCTATAGCGTGCTTCCATTTGCCCATTTATTACTTCAGTCTCGGCCTGGATGCGGCAGTGTCTATTCAGTCCTTATTCATTTAAAAGAAAGTTTAACATTGATTCATGTATTTAACAACATTTATGTAACAAAGGTCCATACGGTAGGAAATGAATAAAACGGTGGGTGTGCCAATCGCGACACGTAAACAAAACAGAATAGATAAAAGAATAGTCATGTTTAAACAGACTTTGTTGAATTGTGTTGAATTGTGTAATATATTTTCATAACTATTGCATTATATATATATTGCTATCATTAATTCATTACCTTTTTGTCAAGTTATTTTATTGTATTCAACGAATGTATATACTTTGATATATTCACGGTAACTGATTAAACAGAAATCATTTGGAATATTAGAATACATTTAAGTGAAATCACATAAAGATAGTAGAGTGTAGTAAGACGACTGTTACTGTGTTATGCATATGACATATTTATAAATGAAGGTCAGAAACTTATTTCTGGATAAAAACAACTTAGGTGACAATAACGGAACTGTCGCCTCACATTCTTCTATAGATATCGACCGACTCAAGCGACGTGCTTACCTTTCTAAGGAATACAGTTACTAACCCTTGGACGGCGGCTGACCACACGATACCGATGCTGGTCCAGCACTTCCGCAATGTGGTCATTGAGTGCATTGAAGAGGTATGGACAGAACATGCAGACTTCTGTTTATAGCTCATTTGAGTTTATCTATTGATTCAATTATACTTTTGCAATCCAATAGGCATCGAAACCCACTAACAAGTTTCACAGAAAATAACAGTACATAATTAAAGACATATTACAACATCACAGACAAAGTGTACAATTGTAAAGCATAAAATGATACATCAAATATCAACAGACTATGTCTATGTGGAATATATTGAATCTGTTCCAAATCTGTTTTTATTTTCTTTTTAATTTCTTATGATTCAATAATTCAAACGATTTATTTATACAGATTTGTATTTGCTAAATAAACTAGAATCGATTTCATTTGTTCATTTTTCTTCTCATAAAAAATAAAAGCCGATTTTCTGTTGACTTCTTTCTATTTCTATTGACTTATTTCTTTAAAAGTATTAACAAGAGGATGCATATAATATTTGAAATACAATAATAGATAAAAAAAAGTTTGAATCAATGTCATTTGTCGATGTGCTTTCCCACACATTTGAAAAATTGAATAATATTTCCAATACCATCTTTCTTCGTGCATCTTCTCAAGTCTATTTTCAAACATATCACAACTCACAATGGCATAGCTTAAACGATGTGAAAGAGAGATAACTAAATATTCCTTTCGGCGGTTTAGATATAATGTCCAATATACAGCCGATCTTTGCTGATCAAGACACAACTAATCCGGTTGTGACCCTGCAACACACCATTTATCCGGTTGCATCCCTCTCCAAGTATCACTTATCTGATTGTCTCGTTATCCAGACCACCACTTATCCGGCTGTCTAGCTATCCACTCCAGCCATCACTAGTCAAGTTACTCCCATATCAAGTCAAATGTCTTAAACGGAAAAAGTGGTATTTTATGAAGACAATAGTGCCCCTTATCAGTTATTTTCGCAAACAAGTTTCTTTCCCTTAAACGGACTAGGCTGTGTTATCGAGGCTTCTCCATTTTTAGCTAAACTTCGCAGACAAATTAACGATTATTTACTTATAAATTAATAAATGGATACACAAATTACTGAAGGGGTGCACATTTTAATCGGTTTTTGTTGTTGATTTCGACTTGAGAGCCTTCAATGTATAATATATATTGACTTTACTATATGGTTATTATTTATATGCGAAATGATTAATTAAATCATTTATATTACAGATCGACCAGTCTGAAGGAAAACTCAACGGTCACACACATCGATGAGCAGTGTCCTTCCTACAAATGAAGTTGTTGGATATTGACACAAATTTGATGAACAGTTATGTACTTTTGTTGAGGTTAATTCTTAGTTTTATTTACCTGAGGAAAACGGAACATTAACTGACATTATGAAAATATTCCTTTAACATCAAAAAGGAAGAACTGAACTGCATGGGTCTTACATTTTACACTTGCATATTTTGTTGTGGCGTCGCAATCTAAAGTGAAATGAAAGGCTTTATCTTTAACTATACAGTTTGTCTTTATATAATCCAGTCTTGTAAATCAAGTATCAACTAATTGTCTACCAGGTGTTAGGGAACAGGTTGGCTTTTTAAAAGATTTTTCACTAATCTAGCCAGTTTTGCTTGAGACTCAGGTAACCGAATTGTGTTAAACACGTTTTAATTATGTCTCCCCTTTGAATGAATGGAGACATTATTTAAGTACTGGCTCGTCTTCCTGTTCTTCTAATAATTTCCTGTCCAGGCCGTAACTTTAAAACTGTTGTTAAAGATACATTTATGGAGCTCGCACTATACATGTATCACCTACAGACAATGTGCAATTCACTGTCGTTATGCCACTGTGACCTTGACCGCATTGTCAAAGGTCAAATAAATGCAATCTTTTCCGTAACATTTAAATCATCAAAGATATCTCAATGAACCTTGCAGTATATCTGCATCACTCAGAGAGATGATTTGCAGTACACTGTCATAATGTCGCTGTGAACTTGATCTCAAGTGCAAACTTTTCAGTTGTAACTTTTAAAATATTAGGTTAATGTGATTTTCCACGTCATAACGTTCCATTTGCATTTATCCTTATATCAAATGATTTTTATAGGTTATTAGTGGACAGTTCCTCTAATAACAAAGGACTTGGGGCATCATACTTTTCAACTTGAATTTATTTAACATTTTTTTATTATAAACATCATATTGATTAATTGAGACTATCTTTTTTGGCGCAGATTTTTTCCAATGCGCATGCGTGTATGCCTTACCATAGCAACAAAATTGTTTTGCTATGCAGAAAGAGACAAAATATGGCATGCAGAAATGAAAGCCTCCGCATGTGACAAACAAATGTTCCTTTCTACGAATGAAGACTGGTATGACAATGTTTAAGTAAGATACATATTTATATGTTTTATGCAAAAATGCGGAGGCTTTCAAAATTGAATAGTTTTTAGTTCTTCAACAAAATAGCGCACAAAAGACGATATCCACGTATTTTATTACGAACATGCGAGTTAATCTCTCTCTATGTAATGCCATAACTCCTAGACCAGTTGTTGAATGAATTTGAAATTTCATATTTGCGTACTTCATTTACTCCAAATTACGAATATAAAAACTAAATTTAAATTTCCGATGAGGCCGGAAATGACCCTTAACGCCCCTTATCCTTTAAGAACATTGTAGTCAAACGGTTATTTGACTTAATCAGCGATTTTTGTTTTTGCAATGGAAGGAGGGAAGAAAATTGACTAATAAGGTGAGACATACATTCAATCATAAAAACAAACCTCTATTTCTAAGAAGAAAAGTGTTCATATGCATGTACATACATTTTTTACGTAGAGCCGTTTATTTTCACACATAGATTAGATGATATGCCATTACATAACAGGTTATTATATTCTTTGGTTGGTTTAGAACGGAGACCGTCAATGCAGTAAATTAACGATTTTGTTCCTTTCCTTTTAGGATTTATTGATTTTACAAAACGTGTAACGATTTTCTTTTATTTTTGTTTGAATAATTAAACATTTTGTTGGGATTATTATGCAATATTAGTTTTATTGTTGTTTTTAATGTTTTGCCAATTCACGGCATTTGAATCAGTTAGAATTTATAGCAGATAACTCATTTTTAGTTGTGCTTATTCAAAGCAATCACGTTTACTATTAAAGAAGATCGGGGCGTCATGAATGACACAGTTTTGAACAAAAAATCCCACACAGCAATATTCAAAATAGGCGTTGCACTTAATTGTAATTTTCTTCTCATATTTTTTTAAGTTCGTCGTTTACTCTATTAATTAACCTTGTAACCAAATATAAGAGATTTTGCTAACAAAATATGTGATAATTGAACTTGAATAACCATGACTTATTATTTTACTGACACTCAAGGTAAATAAAGTAATTGTAGTAACTTATCAAGCGGACTTTGTAAGCTCTTTTTTTTAGATATTGCTTTCGATACAACTACGAGTCAAATGTTAATACAGATGTACAACAAATGTACAACAATTTGAAAGTCAGGTACTACCTTTCCAAAACAAAATAAAACCCTATTGATATTAATTGACAATATATATATAAAAAAATAATTGGATATGCCTGACAGTAAAAACAATTGAACATAAGCATTCATTTAGCTTCGGTATAAACTTCTTTTTAGCATCCCTTCACCAATCAAAGTACACTTGAAGTTAGATATACAAACGAAAATCAAAGCGGATCTAAAGTCAAATTCCAAAAAATACCATCTACTATATCTTTACGTTTATATATATATTGAAAAGATAGAATACGTAACAAACTTTTCGTTTAAGGTCGAATGAGTGTATTGATAAACGGAAATAGGAAATACATCCATAGTTGAAAATCCAATGTAGGGAGACAGTATCACAATTTACGCATATCCTAATGTTTAATCTTAAACTGATGAATATTGTATGTTTATTATTGACAGAACTGTGCGTCTCTCAATATTAAAGTATTTCAAAGCAATCCAGGCATTGAGTCATTTGTTTTGTATCAATGAGTCACATGTGCCCATTTTTCTGTACTTCAGGAAACCGGCTACCTATTTCACTAGTGTGAAGTTTTTCAAGAAAGATAACTCTTACATGCAATTACTATGTGTATATGGTTTTAATATAAAATGTCAATTTTTAATCGTTTATAGATAATATATTTTACATAATATCAGCATTTATTAAATTGTTATACATTAATGCAATACTAATCTATGTCTGTATCATTTTTATTGACATTATTTTGCAAAAATTTGGTGCTTCATTTTTTTCTTCAAAATTCACTCCTTTTTACATAAATTTCCATTTAAAATCCTTAAAATTCTGACAACCTATATTTTTTGTGGCAGTAAATTTTCTTTACTTCAAAGCAATATAAATACAAAATTTGAAGAAATTCTCCTGAGGAATGGTGACACAAACCTATTACCTTAAGAATGATATTTCAATGTGCTAATCAAGAATTTTGGTATCTTTACAATTTCATAAAGTTACACTGTTTATATTTAATGAAAATATTGCCTATTCATGACAAGAATCTTACAAGAATCAAATAGCATTGTTAAGCAAATTTGGTAGGGAATAACCCTGCGAATTGTGTACAATAAAAGGGATACCCACAGCACGGTGTTCCTGAAGTGTACCTGTTATTGGTAATTTTATGCTATATTGTCATTGGAAAGGAACTACAATATTGACAATAGAGACGGTACAGTACTCGTCTTAAGTGTGCATAGTTGGCCAAAATTGATGTATTTAGGATTGATTCTAATGTAACAGGTATGACATCTGCCATTTTCCAAGTCCCTGACCCTGTTTAATACAATACTCTTACTCTTATATTGAGTGTTCTGTGGTATTTTAAGACGGACATAGCTGAATTTAACATATCTGATGTTCTTCCGTGGACCATTCAAACCCCTGATTTTAACTTTACATAACATGAGCGAGGGAAACCAAATGTTATGCCCGAAGAACACAAATCCTCCTTTCGGGAATGCATTTCGAATTACCCTTCTCATACACAACTTTACACCGATGGTTCCAAAGAAGGTGAGAAAGTGGCAGCAGCCTGCTGTACTGCTTATACGTGCACTTCAGTCCGACTACCAGACGGCGCCTCCGTATTTTCTGCTGAAGCATGCGCCATTGGTTTGGCCCTCGACCAAATCGATGAACACCGAATTAAAAAGGCAATTATTTGTTCAGACTCTCTATCTGTCCTACAGAGTTTACATTTCCGAGATCCTAAAAACGCACTCGTACAAAACCTTGCTCTTCGAATATCTCGTATCTTAACAAAAAGTCTAAAATAACTTTACTATGGATCCCGAGCCATGTCGGAATTAAAGGCAACGAATTTAATTTAATTCTTTATTTATTTTACGAGGATTACAAACAGCCCGAAGGCTACTAAATGCTCTCCTCAACATATATCAAACATACAATATGTACAATTACACAAAAGACGTACAAATGTCGCACACACTTGCACTCACACATACACACATTACAGAGAGAGAGTCTGTTTGAATTTACGATATATTCAACAAAATGGTCAAATAATGTTTTGTTCTCAATTTCGTTTAGAGTTTCTAATCCACATAAAATTATTTTGACAAGAACATTTGGCATGAGCTCTACAATAAGGTTGGAATTGATGTTTGGAGCGAATATACGACAAACAGCACGGAGCATATTGGAACGGATTCGGTTATATTTTGGACATAGTAAAAAGAAATGAATTTCCTCTTCGGAGGTGTTCGCGCAGAAGTCACAGAATTTGTTATTAGTTAAATTGTAAGAGTATCTATGCTTGTTTAAAGCACTTAGTCCCATTCTTATTCTAGGGTGATTGATTTTTCCTTTCCCATGTCCATATGCATACAAAGAGTTTGTTTGTGGAGTGGATAGATTTGACAGTGCTAGAGAGAAAGACGAATTTGCTGACAGGAAAGCAAAAAATGCATTGAATCTCGAACAAACAAATATCAAACTACCATACACAGATTTTAAACCTACTATTCGTACATCCATTCAAAATGAATGGCAGCAACGCTGGGTTCTCGAGACCACCAACAAACTTTTTAAGATACAACCGAAACTTAAAACATCTTTTCCCAGTCGGAAAGATCGTAGAGAGGAAGTTGTCCTCGCTCACCTCCGTACTGGGCACACATATCCTACTCATTCATACCTTTTAAAGCGAGGAGATCTACCTTCATGCCACGCATGTGACACTCCATTTACAGTGGAACAATTTTTAATAGAATGTTCCGATTTTAAACACATTCGTGATAACTACTTTCGAGTCCCGGATATGAAAACTCTTTTCAGTTCCGTGGACTCGAAGGCATTATTTAACAATTTGAAAGACATCGGTCTATTTTATAGACTCTGATGTCTTTTGACCCACCTTACCCTTTTTGACGTTGTATATATATCACATATTCCATATCATCTATTCGTTATCTCTTTTATTATTTTAACCCCCTTTTTAATTTTTTATTATCTACACATACAATGCGAATGCTTTTAAAATGAACCATTTTATCTGATTTTATCTTCGCTACTCACATGTTTGTTAAAAAAAAAATTAAATAAATAAATCACCATGGTCCTTAAATGACCACAGCCGTCGATGGGCCGTTAAACATAAACAAACAAACAAACAAACTATTAACACCAATTACACACAATCAACTGTTTAACATTAATGAACGAACAATCAGGAAACACAATACTACCGTTGCTCAGGGTCATGGCCCATATCATTTTTCCAATAAAAAGATCGAGATTGTTTCATTGAACTTTAAAGTACATCCTCAGTAAATAGTGTATTGGTAATTTGCATTATTTACAATTGAAAGTATTTTGTTTTTACTTACTCTTCATTCTCGGTTTCATTTCAGTATCTATACACTCATATTATTATTGGAATAATAGTACCCAAACTATGTTATTCAGATATGACTATGGTTCATAACACAAATTACAATAGTTATATAAACATTGTTCACACATAACAGGGAAAGCAAATATGAATAATCATTGTTACATTGAAAAGTCTCTTTAAACCACGTGTATCCCTGTACCACTGTCAAAACCTGAAACTTTGTACTGGAAACTGTTTTCTCGCATGACTATAGCATGGAAAAATCATTTTTGAAAGGAAAACCTTTCATAATTATTTTGAAAACAAATTGTAAAGTTGAAATAAACAAAATATAATCAACAAATGTCAAAAATATACAATTTACAGGAGGGCCAGAGCGAGTTTCGAACCCTGGATTTCAAATTGCTATATTACCGCTGTAACCTTTTGAGCTATCTGGTCAACAGAACTTTACTAGTCTAAACGTGCTACAGTTATGTCAAAAAGAGAAGTTAAGGGGATGTTACTGTGTAAAGGAAAAACGTCAATGCAGTGGGTCAGGGATCCTAAACTGACGTGTTTTATTTGGATATGCTATGAAGTATCACATGGATATGGGATAAAGTTGTATGAATTGATGAAGATCGGAGATACTCTCTATATATACATGTAACTACGCGGCTAAAGAGAGATAAATCGTAAGACTACTTAGCGAACATAACATCTAACTTCCTGGTAAGTAGGTTACAATCACTAACAATATTTGTCATTGGCATAAATGTTATCTAAATTATGATATTAGTGAAACTTTATTGTATTAAGTGTGATCGTTTTTGTGATTGGTTTTACTTTACCCCTTGATATGGCAACCAATTTAAAATTATTAACAATCTATGTAAATGGTTTGAATTCCCTAGAAAAAAGGTTGAATCTCTTTTATTGGTTTAGAAAAGTAAAAGGCTGACATAATTTGTTGTCAAGAAACCCGCGGTGGTGATAATATTGGAATAGCGAAAGCTACTGGTCAAAAGGTACATCAACATCAAGGGACGAGAAAATATTTGTTCGCAAAGGTTTACAAATAAAACCTACGGAGGTGTTAATATATGGTCGTTTCATAACATTTAAAAATGACGATTATAACAAAACAGAAGTTAATATATATGCACATAATGGTGCAAGGTGCAAGACATTTTTTTACATATGTATGAGCTAGAACTTATTACGGGGAAAGCATATTGGAAATATACTTATAAGTGGGGGTTCGGGGATTATATCTGTGTACGTAATATATAGAGATAGAGATAACTAAACGGATCAGGATGAGGTTGGGAAAGCAGAACCAGCCTGAAGATATCATTCGTAATTAGAAATTGAAGATATTTGGAGGAGAAGGAATCCGTGTAAATATCTTTAACATTTCAAAGAGGAAAAGAAAAATTAAAGGATTGATAAGTTTTATATGTCGAAAAAACTAGTTACGAGCGTTTTCCCTACTTCTATGAAAGTCTAAGCAAATAATCTATTAGAACATATTGATTTAAGTTTTGGTAATGTTGATTAAGAAAACGGTGACAAAATACCTTCAGAGGACAAAATACAATCTGCGATTGATGAAATTAAATATAAGAAACTTCTAGGTGCTGACATGATTTTGAGATAACAATCTCACAATCATAACAAATATTGTGTTACCTATTTAAAATGAACTTACAGTAGTAATATTACATTTTTCCAATCAAAGGAATTAACAGAACAGAATATTATAAACAAGGAGAGCGTGAGGATACTAAGATCTAGCGTCCGATTGCTTTACTTAAATCAAGAAAATGTTTGTGGAGGGGTCCTTTTCCTCGACAAGAGTTTGATCGAGTGGAGTGGTAATGAGTTCACATGTGTCTTAAACAATTTGGGGGTGGGGTAAGCTCATTGAATGTATTAAAATTATCTATATGATCAACTCATACAGTAAACTTCTAGCAAATGGTTTTCTATCAATTATTTTTAATCTATAATGTTCGGTAAGACAGGGCTGACACCTCGCTTTTCTTATCTCTATCATAAATGCTTTCCAATTAGGCAAATGTAAACGT